ATCCCCAAGCAGTTGTCTACACAGATTCCCAAGCAGTTGTCTACACAGATTCCTGTTGGCTTTGAAGAATTGCTTCTCCAACCTTGAAATTTGCTTATCTTGAACAGTCTTTGCAGACTTGGTTCTCTCAAATGGGGAAACCTTATGCATTCTCAAATGTCCTGTTCTTTGAGGGATGTGATTTGCTCTTTGAAGAATGTTGCTGTATGTGACACAAGCCAAGCAGGCTAAACAACAGAGATTTACCTTCTCTCTCAGGATTCTGAAGACTGGAAGTCTCAGGTCAGGGAATCCACGGGACTGGCTTCATTTCTCACTGTTTTTACACACATCTCTGATATTTTTCTTTTTTCTTTTCTTTCTTTTCTTTTTTTTTTTGTTTTTTGTTTTTTTGTTTTTTTGAGACAGGGTTTCTCTGTGCAGCTTTGTGTCTTTCCTGGAACTCACTCTGTAGCCCAGGCTGGCCTCAAACTCACAGAGATCCACCTGGCTCTGCCTCCCGAGTGCTGGGATTAAAGGTGTGCGCCACCACTGTCCGGCTGATATTTTTCTTTTTTTCTTGTGTGCACACAAAGTGTGTGTAGACAAGTGTGTGCATGAACATCCTTGTGTGTGAATGTGAGTGCCTTTGTGACATGCATGTACAGGTCAGAGGACAACCTTGGGTGTCAGATCTTCTGTCTTTGGGACAGTCAGTGGTTTTCATGATGTGGGCATGAAGTTATTGAGTTTCTGTGGATTCTCCTGTTTCTTCCTCCCATCTATCCTATAGGAGAGCTGGGATGGCAGTTACTTGCCAACACATCTGGCTTTTATGTGGGGTCTTGGGATTTGAACTCAAATCCTCACACATGCACAGCAAATGCTTTAACCCACTGAACCATCTCCCTAGCACTATCTCTGGTATTTCTTTGGGGGGGTCAAAATTTCTTCTTAGATCACTCGTCAGGGCTCATGTTAAGGGCTTTGTTTTAACTGCATCACATCTTTTAAAGATCTGATCTCCAAATATAAACCTTCTGTTTTCAGCATGTGAATTTTGGAGGGTACACAACTGAGCTCTTACCTACTAAAAATGCTCACATCTTCCATCATGCATATGCAATAATTGTTCTAGTCTAAGGTGCCTTTCTAGGAAATATAAAATTAAGTGACCACAATAGAAAGGTGAGTTCTAAGAATAATAATGATTGATTCTTCACACAAATTTATTTTATACTATCTTTTTTTAAAAAAAAAATGATAATAGATGTCCAAGCTTTAGGGAGAAACTATGGAAATTAACCTTTACCTCAGTTGAGAAGATGGGAATCCAGAGTTTAATGCCCGTGTCCCAAACAGGAATAGAAAGGATGCAGCCTGATGAGCATGGAGTTTCACAGTGGTGAAGGGCCACTGGAAGCCTGGAGGATGGGGCTCTATTTTTAGGTCTTCTAAGTTAGGTGGCAGAGTCCTGCTCGGCTCTGTACTGCTATGCATGGCTGTGTGCTGCTGTGCATGGCTCTGTGCTGCTGTGCATGGCTGTGTGTGTGCTGCTGTGCATGGCTGTGTGCTGCTGTGAATGACTGTGTGCCGCTGTGCATGGCTGTGTGCTGCTGTGCATGGCTGTGTGCTGCTGTGAATGACTGTGTGCTGCTGTGCATGGCTGTGTGCTTCTGTGCATGGCTGTGTGCTTCTGTGCATGGCTGTGTGCTTCTGTGCATGACTCTGTGCCGCTGTGCATGGCTGTGTGCCGCTGTGCATGGCTGTGTGCCGCTGTGCATGGCTGTGTGCCGCTGTGCATGGCTCTGTGCCGCTGTGCATGGCTCTGTGCCACTGTGCATGGCTCTGTGCCGCTGTGCATGGCTCTGTGCTGCTGTGCATGGCTCTGTGCTGCTGTGCACGGCCCTGATGGCATCACTCCTTGACCTTGGTGTGATGTTCTAGGCTATTTATTCTCTATTGGTTGTTTTCTTGCTTATTTGGAAAAACAAAATGTTTAATCTCTCTGTTTGAACATATACATCGAGCCTTCCAAATTTCTTTTTGCATATTAATCTATCTTTTTGTCCCTTCATGGTGCTTATATATAATTATTATTACAATGCACTTGACCTCTTCTTTTGCTCTTTCCCTTTCCTTTCAGGTTAGTCAATTTAGACTTTACTATCTAGGCTGGGTGTGGTGGTGCACACCTTTAAAATCTCAGCACTGGGAGGCAGAGGCTGGCCAATCTCTGAGTTAGAGACCAGCCTAGTCTACATACTGAGTTCTAGGACAGCCAGGGCTACTCAGAGAAACCCTGTCTCTGAAAGAAAAAGATATTAGTATCTGAATTGTAACCTTAGATATCATTTTAATTGGTTTTAAAGATAAATCTATTTATCTCTGTATCTGGCTGTCTGTCTCTATTATCTACGTATCTATCATCTATCTGTTTGTCAATCTATCATCTATCAATGTATTTATGTATCTATCATCTCTATCATCTACACATGTATGTATGTATCTTTATTATATATCATCTACATATCTATGTATCTGTCTATCATCTGTTTATCTATTTATCTATCATCTATGTATCTATCTTTCTGTCTGTCATCTATCTGTCTTGTCTGTGTCTGTCTATCTATCATCTATGTGCTGCTGAGGATTGAACTCAGGGCCTTGAATGTGCTAGGCAAGCATTCTATCACTGAGCTACATCTTTAGCCCTTAATTGCTAAATTTTAAACTCAAGACCTAGACTACCTAACAGGAATGGGGCACAGTATCTTCAGAGTCTTTAAATTCTGTGCTGAAAAAAAATCCACCTGCTTCCTTTTAGGTTATGACAGTAATATTAGAAATGCATAGGGAACGCACGAAGAAAGGGCAGGCTGTAGCTCAGGGGGTAGACTGCTTGACTTGCTCACATGCGGCTCTGGATTTGATCTCCAGGCTTGCATAAATCAGGTGTGGTTTGTGATCCTGGTGCTGGGGAGGTGGAGGCAGGAAGGTCAGTGCTGAGGGGCTGGGCTGGGGTCAATATTAAAGTGCTTGCCTGGAATGCTCCAGCATTGAGTTTAGTTCCCTTTTCTTTTTTAAGTTCAAGGTTATTCTTGCCTACTTAGGGAGTTGAGGCCAGCCTTGGGTTATATTAGACCCTGTCTCAAAAACAAACAAACCCCAACCCAAAGAAACATATGAAAAACCCATCTTGGGATCTTTCTTCAGTGTGGTGATGGGCATTCATGTCGCTGCATGAAATGTGTCTCTCCTACCCCCCCCCCCCCAACACACCATTATCACATTAGCACAGGACCCTTGTGATAGGAACTTAGAGGATCCTGTGACTTTTGGTGTGTGAAACAAATGAGCTAAAGTGGTCATTAAAAACACCTTGGGCCTGGGCAGTGGTGGTGCACGCCTTTAATCCCAGCAGAGGCAGGCGGATCTCTGTGAGTTCGAGGCCAGCCTGGTCTACAAAGCGAGTTCCAGGAAAGGTGGAAAGCTACACAGAGAAACCCTGTCTGGAAACAACCCCCCCCCCCCCCCCCCCCCCGGCCAAAAAACCCAAACAAACAAACAAAAAAACCCAAAAGACCTTGGAAGCCAGGCTTGTTGGTGCATGCCTTTAATCCCAGCACTTAAGAGGCAGAGGCAGGCAGATCTCTGAGGCCAGCCTGGCCTACGGAGTGAGTCCCAGGATAGTCCAATTTTGGCATTTTTCATTATACTTTTAAGTATATTCAGAACAAACTGATACTTAATACTCCCTGGTCTTTCACTTCCCAATATGTACCCTCCCAATTACATGTTCCTTATGCATTTTATTAGGTAAAAAAGAGGTGAGGTGGTCTTCTGGTGATTTTTACTGATTTTTGTTTTTTCAGTGCTGGAAATTGAACTCAGGACTTCATGCATGCAAGGCCAGCAAGCAGTTTTGCCACCTGAGCTACATGCAGCCCATCTCCCTATTCATACATTTTTAAAAAAAGATTTATTTATTTTATGTGCATTGGTGTTTTGTCTGCATGTCTGTCTGTGTGATGGTGTCAGATCCCCTGGAGCTGGAGTTACAGACAGTTGTGAGCTGCCATGTGGGTGCTGGGAATTGAACCGGGGTCCTCTGGAAGAGCAGCCAATGCTCTTGAACACTCTCTCTAGCCCCATACATTTCTTATGCATTGTAATATTATTTACCATTTGACATCATACCTTAAAAAGCGCAAGTGGTTTTTTTCAACACAGCATTTAAAGAATTGCATCCTTTGCCCTGCTCCCTTGGCTTGGGTTTTGGTGGGCCTTCTTTTCTGACCCAGACATTGTTGAAAACAGCCATAACCTGTTTTCTTACTTCACCGCTTTCTCAAGAAGTAACTTAAATATTTGTTGGGGCGTCATCAGTGACAGACAGCTATAGGAGCATACAAAAGACGCGTGTTAATTAATCCCACTGGGTGAAAATAAGACCACGATCACAGTTTTTGAGCCAAATTTGAAGCAAGCTTTATTAAATACTGGCCAGGACTGGGGACACTGGCTGGGTCCATACCCGGGATTTCCAGAGAATGGCTGAGACTTAGTTCGGTGTTTATAAAACCCTGCAAGGCCACGTACTTCTCATCTTTGTCCAGTCAGGGGCAAGCATGTGTCCTGATGAGCTTCCTGCCTACATGTGACCAAGCACATCCTGTGCAGTCCGGGCAGCCAACCTTGTTTACAGATGGGAGAACAGGTGGCTGGTTACCTTACATGAACAGCCCCCAGCATTCCAGGAGGTCATCTGTCCTTGGGCAAGTGGGGCTTACAGGTTAGAGGCATTTTTGTTTTCTAGCTCTCTTAAGCAGAGTAATTTAAACTTAAAACGTAACTTTAGCTCTCACACTAGCAATAGTGTGCATAGAGAATCCCTGGGGTGTCTCCCCTGATCAGACGGTGCCCAGCCTTAGTTTTTAACGTCACTTCTAAATAAGTGTGTTTCGGTGTTTACATGTGTCTATGGAAGAATTTCAATGAATGCTTCTTGTTTTGAACAGTGGGGCCACATTACGAATTGAAAAAGGAGCCCCAAAGGAGTCAGTTCTTAAAAACTCAGCTTCTGTGGGTAAGTCTTGCTTTTTTTTTTTTTTTTATTACGATTGTTTAAATCTGCAAACAGTCTGGTGGTACAGCAGTGTCTAAGGTTATTCATCGCTTTGTCTGTACTGTAGAACAGTAGCTGCCTGAGTTGTTATCAGGAGGGTTGGGCAGTATGTATTAGTTCCTCTCTGGGTTCTTCCATGTATTATTTTACTTGTAAGGCCTGCATTTGAAGAGGGAGTTTGTGGCTTTAAAGATGTAGTCAGGGATGAGAAGAGATACAGGCAGGCAGTGTGTACTTTGTTACAGTACCCCTACAAACTAACATGAGTATTCAGCTCATTTACATATAATCAAGGACTTGGTGTGGTTCAATCTTTCACAGTGCTACATACTCACTACTTGTTTATTTGTTTGTGCGTGGTTTTTTTGAGGGGGGAGGAGTTATTGTTGTCTCTGCTACATTTTCCAGTTGCTGTAGATTATGTGGCCATTGTAATTATTCAGTTATTACACAATAGAATTTCTATGTTTCATACATATATTATTGTTGTTTGAGCTTTCTGATCTTTACATTGAAAATTTTGTTAATTTGAAAATACAGGAAAAAAATTATTTCTGTTTTGGTTTAGGGTTTCTCTGTGTAGCCCTGGCTGTCCTGGAACTCTGTCTGTAGACCAGGCTGGCCTCGAACTTAGAGATCTGCCTGCCTCTACTGCCCAAGTGCTGGGATTAAAGGCGTGCGCCACCCCCGCCTGGCAGGATAATTATGTTTTTCATCTTAGTTTTTTGACTTGTCCTTTGACTTTGCTTGTGTGTATGTTTTGATGGAACCAGTAAGTTCTTTGCTTTACTTTGATCATTTACATCTTGATTTTGAGACTGGTAATTTTTTCACGAGGGTCGGGGGAGGGCTGTTGGTCAGTTTTTTTTTTTATCACTATCACAAGACACGGGTGGGTTACTCTACTCAGCTATGAGAGCAGGGTGAGGCTCTAAGTTCCAGGAAGATCTGCCGGATGGTGGAGCTCAGGTGGTAGGTGGGAGGAGGAAGCCTCTCCCGTCGTGAGCCAGAAGCAGACCGTGACTCAGGGGTCTGTCTCAAGCTTGAACGACTCATAGCTACAAGTACTGTCACAGGGCTGCAGAAGCAGAGCCTTAGTCTCTTCCCAGGGCAGCAGCACCTTGATGACCCAGGAACTCATTTGAGGCCCCACCTCATGGAAGTCCACAGCACTTCAGCGCTGCCACACTGAGGACCAATCCCCTAACACAGGAACCTTTGAGGTTTACCCTTAAACTGCAGCAGAGACTAATCCCAACCATAGCGAAGACTAATCGGACTGCCTGGGAGTTAGAATTTAGAAGTTGAGATTTTATCAGGGTTTCATTCCAACTTCTAATCAGATGTTCTCAAAGCGCACTCCTTGGAATACATTTTACTGCTGAAGGCTAATTGAGAATCCTGCACAAGAAATAAAACTGTAGGCTGGAGAGATGGCTCAGTGGTTAAGAGCAAGTAGATGACCCAAACGTCGTTCCCGGCACAAACATTGGGTGGGCTCACAACCACCTGTAACTCCAGTTCTAGATCTGGAGTTACCTCTAGTTGCCACAGGCATCTGGACTCATGTGCACACACCACATACAGACACATAATGAAAAATAATTCAGATAAATAATAAAGAAGTTTACAAAAAAAACACCACAACTCTTGTCTAGGATTGTATCTCGATGGTAGAGTATATACTTCATGTATGTGAAGCTCTAAGTTCAGTCTCCAGCACCCCCAAACCCCAGTAATAACACAGTCAGACTCTAGGGGAAATGTTTGGAGGCATTATATACTGTCCCCTTCCTCTGGAAGAGTACTGTTGTGTGGTGACAAAGGTCTGGAAAAGTCCTGAGGTAAAGACTGTATTAGCTGGGCATGGTGGGTGTGTGTTTGTAACCCCCAGAATTCTGAAGGCTGAGGTAGGTGGTTGCATGTGTGGTAGTGGCCTGGGCTATGTAGCTAATCCTAGGTCAGCTTGAACTATGTTACTAAGACCTTGTTTAAAAAAATTGGAAAAACAGGTGCCGGGCGGTGGTGGCGCACGCCTTTAATCCCAGCACTTGGGAGGCAGAGCCAGGCGGATCTCTGTGAGTTCAAGGCCAGCCTGGGCTACCAAGTGAGTTCCAGGAAAGGCGCAAAGCTACACAGAGAAACCCTGCCTCGAAAAACCACAAAAAAAAAAAAAAAAAAAAAAAAAAAAAATTGGAAAAACAAGAGTGCACACGTGAGAGAGAGAGAGATTTTTTAAATTAAATTACGCTTTCCCAGGGCTGCTTGACTGCAATCTTCTTTCTCCCATGCAATCTATGACCCCTGTTAGCTTCTGGTAGAAACAAGTTAAAACCAGTCCTTGTTTATTTATGTGCCTAAAGAAACAGTTTCAGTGGGAGTAAGACTCCTGACAATCATTTCAGGCACTGGGTTCCTAGGAAGTCAAATTTTATAGGAATAGTGACTAAACAATAAGAAAGAATTAGATCATCAAATGGATCAAAAGTGTTTTCAAAAAGGCCCGGAGTGGTCCTTCACCTGCCCTGTAGCCTCTCTGATGGAGTGTTCGGTCTAGCCTTGCTGTCTGTCACTTGGGGGGATTCCCGAGGGCTGAGACGGCTGTCTCTAACTAAGGAGCAAAGCTTTGTCTCCCTCACTGGTGCTGCCCACGTGGGATTTTTTTTTTTTTACCTCGCCCCAAGGTTAGTTAACAAGGCCCACAAGAAGTTGAGGGGGTGTCCCGTCACGCACAGCACACACCCTCTCCCACTGCGTTCAGTGAGCCTCCCAGAACACAGTGGGAGTGTATCCTCCCTTCCTGTCTTTCCCCTAGCTGTTGGAGGTGTTCACCATCCATGTACAGCTCCTGGCTTGGGCCTCAGAGGGCTGCTGGGCCAGTTCTGCATACACAGGAGACAGTAGCCAGTGCTGTGGAGGGTCTCTGGGGTCTCTTGCCCTCTTTGTGGCCTTGATGGGTACAGCTGTGCCCCCCACATTCCAGCATCATCGATGGCTTAGAATTGACCTGGGCAGTGGTTTCAGATGCTGCCACCAAGTTTTTACAGGAGTTTAAATGCTCACTCATTTCGAATGACTTGCCTTTATTTCCACTTGCGGGTTTTTTTTTCTAAATAAAAAAAATGTAGAAAAATCTTGCCCCTCTTACTTAGTATGGAAAATGGTCAAATGGTCAGGTACTTTGTAAGAAATTTATCATCTGAAGGGTTGCACAGAGGAACTGTAGAAACTGTATGCTGTTGGGAGCTGTGGAAATTAGTTGGTAGATTGCTTGTGTGGCATACATGAAGCCCAGGCTTTGATCCCTAGCACCACACACGCTAAGGAAGTGGCACACACTTGTAATCCCAAGCACTCAGGATGATAGAGGCAGAAAGAAGAGATGGTCAAGATGTCTTTGACTAGAGTTTGCAGCTAGCTTGGGCTACACAAGACCCTCAAAAGAAAGAGGTGGCGAAAATATGTCATAATTTAGAATAGGCTAGCACCTATGAAATTTAATCCAGAGTGGCTGTCCTTTAGCCTGTGAAATCGGAATAAACTCTCTAAGTTATTAGAGCATCTGTGACATTTAAACTTGGCGTGTATGGGATCCTAAGTTCATTAAAATGCGTGTATGTTTGGAGATAGTCACCCGATACGCTCCTGTGACAGGTGCTCAAATAGGTGAACAAACAAAAGACAGTGTAAGAGGAGTTGTGTGTTCCATGCTCATTTGTGTCTGCATTAATCCACATTAATCACGACGGCATGCCGTGCACCTCTGCCCCACTTCTGACTCTATGTTTAGGAAGCCTGAACTTACGGGGTGTGTTCCCTGTTGATCCATCCAGTGCTTGGAGTCATTAGGGAAATGGTGTCACAATCCTAGACAGACAGTAGAGGGTGACGAAACACACTGAGTACTCGTGTGCTTGGCTGGTGCAATCTTCCGGCTGCGGAGCATCATGTCTCTGTACTGGAGCCAATAGAAGCACAAGTCGGTGCGGAGCCATCCAGCTCAGGCAAGGGTCACAGGCAGACCTGGGGCCCCAGGCGGTGTGATTTTTGACATGCCTCTGAATTATTTGTCCCAATAATAATACATTTGGAGGACCTGCGAGGCACAGATTGGCTAGGGAGGGGTGGTAACTACTTATCTTCTGCACGCTCACACGGATTGTTTCTGCTGCCTTTATTTAGGGAAGCATATGTTTTATGAAACACCAGGTCTCTCTACCAGTTCTGTGCCTTTCGTATTATATTTCTTCTGTGCTTTTACTATATAAGGCATCTGCAAGTGAACCTAGGGAAATATTATCTTCATGGAGAAGTCATTTTTTTATGTCACTAGTTTATTTACAATTTTATTTAGTAATAAGAGTTTAAGAGTTTAATCCAATTTTCAGATCACATCTCTTAAACAATCTTCATTCTGTTAAAGGGATGAATTAAATATCCTCATTTTTTAGCTGGTGCCTTACTATAAGAGAGAAGTAGCAAATCCAGATCCGAAGCCATTTGTTTTACACCAAAAATGGCAAATTCTTCCCCGGGCCCTCCTCACAGTGGCTGCGACAGACCCCAGAGGCGGTGAACCTCCACACACTCTGGCCCAATGGCGCCGCTGGAAGCTCCTCAAGGGGCGCAGAGCTGGAAGGCGGAAGAAGCGGCCTCACCACCATAGTCTTCTTTCTTCACGACCTCCTTTTTCCGTCTTTAGCCACATTCATTTTCCTGTGCTGGTGGTAGAAGATGGTGTCATTGATTGGGCTCAGGATACGCTCATGAGGAGGATCTTCCCTTGTCTGCATCTTCTTGGGATTAGAGGCCTTTCTCTCATTGTTAATATATAGGTGGAGGTTAACCCCTTCAAGTGACTGTTATATTGGCGTTTAGTTGGTGGGAATATAATTACTCCCTTCCTGGGTATTAGCTTTACATGAAGTAGCTACAGCCGCAGGAGGAGGAAGGGAAAGATA